CCTTAAAAGATTTGGTGTCTTTGTTACTCTTTTGTGTTATAGTTATTTATCGTGGATATTATTCCTGGGCAGGATATTTTTTTTCCCCAACAATATGGTATCAGAGCCATGGCGAATAATGGTCCGATATTTTTTCAGTACCCCCGTCTCACAAAAGATAATTATGAAAAATGGTGTCTACGTATGAAAACCATTCTTGGCTCCCAGGATGTGTGGGAAATCGAAGACAGAGGGTATGAAAACTCGATAATGAGGAAGCTCTGCCTCAAAATGAAAAAGATGTCTTGGCAAAGATAAGGAAGAAGGATCAACAAGCCCTCACGCTCATCCACCAATGTTTGGATGATGCCATGTTTGAGAAGGTGGCCGATGCTACCACCTCAAAGGAAGCTTGGGAGATTTTACAAAATTCTCTCCAAGGAGTTGACAAGGTGAGTAAGGTAAAACTTCAAACTCTAACGGCTGATTTTGAAGTTTTAAAATGAATGAATCCGGATGCATTTCGGATTATCGTTCAAATGTGAAGGTTGTTGTAAATCAACTGAGAAGATATGGAGAGGACATAGAAGATGTCCGTGTGGTAGAAAAAATCCTTCGCACTTTAACATCTAAATTTGATTTTGTGGTGTGTTATTTAGAAGTCTAAAGATTTAGACTCTATGATGGTGGAGCAATTAGAGGGTTCTTTGCAGGCACATGAAGAAATGATCAAGAGGAGACAAGAGTGTCATTAGAGCAACTTCTTAAAACTCAGGCACCCTTTAAGGATTATGGAGGTGAAAAAAGCTATCGAGGGAATGGATGAGGCCGAGGCCGTGGCAGTCGTGGAAGAGGAAGAAATAATGATAAAAATTTCAACAATGAAGTTAAAATCCACCAAACATTCGGCGGTCGTGGTCGTGGACAAAGAGGAGGAAGAGGACGTGGCTACTACCAAGAAAATAATGGACAAAGGTATGACAAATCAAAAATTGAGTGTTATAATTGTCATAAATTTGGCCATTACTCTTGGGAATGTCGTAGCAATGTAAAGGCTAACCTTGTTGATGACAAGAAACAAGAAGATGAGCCAACATTATTGCTAGCACTCGAGGAAGAAGACATAGATGATTGTAGCTCGTGGTATTTGGAAAATGGAGCAAGCAATCATATGTGTGGATGTAAAGAGAAGTTTGTGGAGATCAATAAAACTGTGAGAGGTAATGTGTCCTTTGGAGATACCTCAAAGATTCAAATTGAAGGGATAGGTACAATTCTGATCTCATGTAAAGATGGTAGTCACAAGCTATTCAAGATGTTTATTATGTGCCAAAATTAAAAAGTAATATTGAGTTTGGGCCAACTTCTTGAAAAGGGATATGACATCCACATGAAAAATATGCATCTTTGGATTAGAGATTCATGTGGAATTCTAATTGCTAAAGTGCATATGGCAAAGAATAGACTATTTTCTCTGAATCTTAAAACAATTGATGCAAAGTGTTTGAAGGGTAATGTGCAAAATGAATCATGGTGTTGGTACATGCGATTTGGGCACTTGAATTTTGAAGCACTAAACTTAATGGGAGAAAAGAACATGGTCCATGGGATACCATCAATTAGCCATCCCAATCAATTGGGTAAAGCTTGTCTTCTTGGGAAACATGCAAGGAGGAGTTTTCCAAAGGAGGCCATGTCAAGATCAACCAAACCGCTTCAGCTTGTTCACAGTGATGTGTGTGGAACATTCAATCCACCTTCCTTTGGTAAAAGTAAATACTTTCTGCTCTTCATTGATGACTTTAGTAGAAAGACTTGGGTTTATTTCTTGAACCAAAAATCTGAAGCTTTTGCTGCTTTTAAAAATTTCAAAGTACTTATGGAGAAAGAAAGTGACTATGAAATTAAAGCTTTAAGGTCCGATAGAGGAGGCGAATTCACTTCAAAAAAATTTAATGACTTCTGTCAATCTCATGGAATTCGTGGCCCTCTAGCGGTACCTTATTTACCCCAACAAAATAGAGTTGCAGAGAGAAAGAATCGAACAATTCTTAATATGGCTAGATGTATGTTGAAAGCTAAAAGTATGCCCAAGAAATTTTGGGCCGAAGCTATTTCTTGTGCAGCTTATTTGAACAACAGGTCTCCAACAAGGACTGTTAGAGATCAAAACCCTCAAGAAGCATGGAGTGGAAGAAAGCCAAGTGTCAAGCACTTGAGAATCTTTGGGAGCATAGCCTATGCTCATGTGCCACATCAAGGGAGAGCAAAGCTTGACGATCGAAGTGTCAAGCATGTGTTTGTTGGCTATGATACGAGTTCAAAAGGCTACAAGTCATACAACCCAAGCAGCGGCAAGGTGGTGGTAAGTCGGGATGTTGAATTTGATGAAGAATTGGCATGGAACTGGAAAGCTCAGGAAGAAACTTCATATGATTTTCTCCCATACTTTGGTGATGAAGAAGAACCAGAGACCATGGAACATGTGCAAGATGCAACTCCACCTCCTTCACCAACTAATGTTGCATCTCCTTCTTCTCAAGAAAGTTCAAATGAACAACCGCAAAGGGCAAGGAGTATTCAAGAGCTCTATGAGGACAGAAGAAGTTACTAAGTTTAATTTTTTATGTTGTCTCTTAGCTGACAGTGAACCAATAAACTTTGATGAAACTATTACAGGAAAAAGGTGGAGACAAGCCTTGAAGTAGGAGATCGATTTAATAGAGAAGAACAACACTAAGGAGTTAACAACTCTTCCCAAGGATCATCGAGCAATTGGAGTGAAATGGGTATACAAGATAAAGAAGAATGTTAATGGAGATGTGGAGAGATACAAGGCATGACTTGTGGCTAAATGCTACAAGCAAAGGCAAGGCATTGACTATGAAGAAGTTTATGCACCAGTTGCCCGCATGAAGACGATTCGTTTGCTCATCTCTTTGGCGGCACAGAAAAAGTGGAAGATCCATCAACTAGACGTCAAGTCAGCCTTTTTGAATGGCTATCTTGAAGAAGAAGTCTATGTTGAACAACCATTGGGCTTTGGGGTCAAAAACCATGAAGATAAAGTGTTGCGGTTGAAGAAAGCTTTATATGGATTAAAGCAAGCCCCACGAGCATGTAATAGTTGCATCGACAAGTATTTCCAAGATAATGGTTTTACTCGTTGTCTCCATGAATATCCTCTTTACCTTAAAACCCATACTAATGGAAATATCTTACTTGTTTGTCTTTATATTGATGATCTTATTTTTACGGGTAATAACCCAAGTTTGTTTCAAGCTTTTAAGAAAGATATGTCCCGTGAGTTCGAGATAACGGATGCAGGGCTCATGTCATGCTACCTGGGCCTAGAAGTGAAGCAGATGGAGGATGGAATTTTCATCTCTCAAGAAAGCTATACAAAATAGATATTGAAGAAGTTCAACATGCTCGATTGCAACCCCGTGAACACACCAATGGAGAGTGGGGCAAAATTGTCCAAGTTTGATGAAGGAGAAAAGGTGGATCCCACATTTTTCAAAAGTTTTGTGGGAAGTGTTTAAGGTACTTGACTTGTACCGGGCCAGATATACTCTTTGTTGTTGGAGTAGTAAGTCGCTTCATGGAAGATAATAGCACCACTCACTTGAAAATCGCTAGAAGAATTCTTTGCTACCAAAAAGGTACGATTGACTTTGGGCTATTTTATTCTTCTTCTAGTGATTTCAACCTTATGGAATTTTGTGATAGTGATTACGCGGGGGAGATATTGATGATAGAAAAAATACAACTGGTTTTGTTTATTTTTTTGGGTGATTCTGTTATTTCTCGGAGTTCAAAGAAACAGTCAATTGTTACTCTCTCGACCTGTGAAGCCGAATATGTAGCAAAAACATCATGTACCTATCATGCTATTTGGCTGAGAAGATTATTGAAGGAGCTCAATTTGCCACAAATTGAAGCTACAGAGATTTGTATTCATAACAAATTCGCATAGGCACTGGCCAAGAGTCTGGTGTATCATGATCGAAGCAAGCATATTGACACAAGGTATCACTTCATTAGAGAATGCATTGCCACGAAAGAGATTGAGCTCAAATATGTGAAATCTCATGACCAAGTTGCAGATATCTTTACAAAGCCTCTCAAGTTTGAAGACTTTCAGAGATTGAAATCATGTCTTGGAATGAAAAAGAAAAATTAAAATTAAGGAAGATATTTATGGGGCCAATCTAGTAAAAACAAAAAGAAAAAGAATAAAGAAAAGATAATGATCAAGTCTTGCAATTGGTTTTCACAAACTCAGACTTGATAACCAATTGGTAACAAGATCTGCAACTTGCAAATGCAAATTGCAAAGAGAAAATTAATATGATTGGTTGCAAGGGACAACAACTTCTAATATAAATAGGAGCATCTGTCATTCGGTTAATGTACACCAAAATCAGAGAGCACAGTAGAGCGCAGAGAGAGTAATCCACATATTGTAGTTTGTGAGATAAATAGTGAGTATGAGTAATATTATAGTGAGGTGTTTAAAATAAAGAGTGTTATTTCTTTTGAAGTTGGAGTAGTCTCTTGACGCTACTAAGTTGTAATATTATAGTAATAATATTTCTCCGCTCGGGTATTGTATTTTATCCCGTTAAAGATTTGGTGTCTTTATTGCTCTCTTGTGTTATTGTTATTTATCGTAGATATTATTCCTGGGCGGGATATTTTTTTTCCCAACAAAAGAAATCCCAAGAACAAGTCTTTTAACTACTCCCTCCGGTTCACAATAACTGACCAGTTTACTTTTTTATTTTAGTCCAAAATAAGTGTCCAGTTATGTAATCAAGATAAAATTCAATTTGTTTTTACTCTTTTACCCTTATGTGCATATTCCTAAAAAGTTTTCTCACTCCTCACTATAACTATGTGACGAATATTTGACAAGGGTAGTTTAATTATATTAGGTATTTTTGTATTGGCTTTAGCATTTTCTTAATGGGCGTGCTAAAAGAAAACTGGTCACTTATTGTGAATCGGAGGAAGTATTTACTTGCAACAACAAGCATTCTTCAAATTATTCCTTTTCCACCTCTTGATGAAGAAGAAAAGGACACATCTCATCATAGTCAAAACACGCAAATACTCAACATAGAAAATCATGAAACTCAATAACTAGATAGTACAGCTGAATCTCGAATGTTGGTACACCCGAATTTCGAAAACATGTCGCTGACGACAATGTTTGTCATACGACGATGAGTTTCATCTGTCAAATGAATGCCATCCCAGTGCACGTATCTAGCTGGGTCAGAGCAAACCCCAACACCAGCTGATCCACACACAGCCCTAAAATTAAAGTTGTATTGTCCTCCAGTTCCACAGCAGGCAGAGAGCAATGTGCTCTGATTAAATCCAAAGGAAGAAGGACTGGAAAGAAGAGTCAAAAGCGCCTCGTAGTAACCCCCATAGACGATTCCAACATTTGGGAACTCGCGTCTTAGATTTACTAGAGCTCTGTTAAGGTATCTATTGTGGTATGAAGCAAAATCATTATAATTTCTCAGGCATCCCAATTGGTCATAAGCAGTAGCATTAGTGTCAGGAAAAGTTGTCAAGTATAGAGGCAGACATCCGAAGGGATAAACTCCTGGAACCAAAACGCGCGTTACACCCAGCTGAATCACATCTTTGATGCCTCTAATAATACCAGCAACAACGTAAGGAACATATGTTCGGATCTCGGGTATTTTCTTGTTTTGGAAAAAACAATTGTAGTAGTCATTGCCACCAAATTCCCCCATTACTATCAGGGAGTTACTGAGTTTTTGTGTACAATTTGAGCCACAAGTGGACTGCAGATGTGATTTGAACCAGTTTAATTGAGCAGGTAGTGGCGTGTTCCAGGTGGGCAACTTAATATTGCGAGCAGTCCAGAAAGGGGTACTAAGCGCCGTGCCACCAGCGACAGCGAAGTTGACGCCTTGGTCAAAAGAAGCGCCTGTGTCCAAGTAAGCACTAAGGAAGGGGAGGTTGAAAGCAGAGGAAATATAGTCGATAATGATACGACCGTCTGAGAAACGACCAGTAGGTCTCTTAAAAAATGTCTCGCCATAAGGAGATTTGTCGGCACGAAATATGATTGAGGCGCCAGGTGTACGGATGACGTTTCCGGCGTCGGCCAGAGAATCTCCTAGTTGGTAAAGAGACCTGATGTTGCATTTTAATTGGGCAGCGGAAGGAGAAGAGAAAAAAACCAAGGTTATCAGTAAACAAAACAAAGATATTTTGGGTAGAGAAAGAGAAGCCATTGAGGAAGGATTTTTCTTGAAAACTAGAAGTAGCAGTGCTGTATATAGAGACGAAGGGAAGTGATTGGAAAGTAGAACTTTTTACTTTTGAAGGTGTGGCTGGAGACAGCCCCATGTGCATGTAAATAAAAAAATATGCGTGCATCTAAATGTTTTATGGAGTACATGTGCATTATTATTTCGTGATCCAAGTAGGCAGTAGCCAAGTCGAATCTTAATTATTACTCCACTATGCTCTAACTAGGTGCCCTAATCTATTATGAATTTGGCCAATTCTGAGTTTTATATTTCGTAGTAGTGAAATAGCCTTGGCTTAACGCGGTACTAAAGAATGAAAGTACAAGAGATGGGATGAATTGCTTATTTTAAAAAACTTTATAAATAGTTGACTAGTTTACCAATTAGTCGACTAGAAATAAGAACAAGACAATAGTAAAATCAGAAATAAAATGCAAGAAATAAAGACACCAGGATTTTATACAGGTTTGGATTCAATGTGAATCCTAGTCTAGTCCTCTTGTGTTGCAAGGGTATTCTCTTTCAGTGATCGGTGTTTCTTGAGCATAATGAATGGTGTAGCTTTACACCAACAGCTTAGTCCTATGTCTCTTTTCTTTTCTTGATACAATGCCTCACCAATATTTATCTCTTTTTCTTCTCTCACTAATTACACAGCAGATCTAAAAGAACTACAATGCTTGTTTGGAGTAGAACAAAAGGAGGGAAGATAGTTCGTTCAAAGTCACGTCAGGAGCATCTGTATATATACTTTCCATGAGGCCTTCAAAAATCTTGAGAGATTGCAAACCCAAGGGAGTTGATCCTTGAAAGGAATCATAAATTGATTCTTTCCAAGAAAAAAGTCAAGTTCCCGTTGATCTTCCTTGATTTATGGTTTTGACGAGCTTTCCATCCGCTAGGCATATCTGCTGGATTGATTTTCACTGATATCGTTTTTCTTTGATTTGGGGCCTTCCAGTAATAGCTTCCGTCAATCTCTGATTGATTACTCTTGCTAGATTTCCGCTGCTTCTTCCTTGCTGATCATTGATTCTTTTCCTTGTTAGCCTCCGTCAATCTTTGATTGACTATTCTTGACGGATCTTTCGCTACTTCTTCTTTTTTCATCGTTGATCATTGATTATGTTCCTTGATTTATTCTTGACTAGTGCTGCTTCTTTAATCCCTTTAATTTCTTCCTTGTGATCCTACACCAAGTGTAATATATTATTTTTCATCATTGAAACTTATAACTAACAATCTCCCCTTTTTGACGATGACAAAAATAATATATGTATAAACAACAGTTGACTTCCCTATAGTTCTTGTAGTCGACCCCCCCCCCCCTAAATGAATGCGGCATTATTAAGTCGACTCGTCCTCAATTGCTTGTAGTCGACTCCCCCTCAATGAGTGCATCATAGTTTAGTTGATTGTCGACTCCTACAATGTTCCTATACCTGCAATGTATGTACAGTTCTCTCTCCCTCTTTTTGACATCAACAAAGAGGGGATATATAGATTCTAAAACAACCAATGTAAATACAGGCACATCCTAGATACTAAAGCAGGATTTATATGCATTATATGCATGCAGAGTTATAGCAGAGAATAAGAACACTACAACAAAAAATACTTTTGGCGATAATTATTTAGCGACAATAAACTATTTGCCGCTAATTTATTCTATAAACACAAATATTGCGGTAATTTAACTTTCACCAGGAAAGAGTGCTTCTTTACTGGCAATTCAAAGTAACTGTCAGAAAAAGTTAGTCCTGACAATTAAAAGTCAATTTTCACTTCCCTCTAATTTTTTTTGTGTGAAATATTTCCACCTGGACACATTCACCCATAAATTGCAAAACTATCATCTCTAAAATTGAGTATACCTCCCTCCCCCGCACCCCCCCCTCTCTCTCTCTCTCTCACGATTGTCGGCAGCCAACTCATCTCACACCGTCGCCGGCCACCACCACCAGGTAATGTCTCTGTACTATTTCTCTACGTCTATCTTTTTTTCATTGTGGATGCCTCTCTCTTTCTGAAGCGTAGAAATTGAAGCTTGTAAACAGATTCTTGACTTTTTCCTATTATGATTTTGTATTTATATTTAGTGTAGAAGAGTCTCCCTTTCGCCAGTCTTTATTTAGGTCTATATATCGATTAGATAAATGAGTTCTAACTATATATTCAATCAGTCATTAAGCACTAGAGTTTCATGAATAGTCAAAATTAACTGCTCTTTTGTTCTCTATGCACTTTCTACCCTATCTGCTTGTTCTTCATACTTTGATAAGGCTTATTAATTTTTATTTTTTTCCTTTTATCCAACATCCTCTACTATAAGGATCTATATCGACTTTTTAAACTTTAACTTAATCCATAATTTTGATGCAACAACTTAAAAAAAGTGAAATACAAGGTGTAATTTGGTTGATTTAGTCCTGTGAAAAATGAAGATTTCATTTGATAAATTGGATTTGCAACGTGGGGATATCACTGGAAATCTAAAGACAGTCACTCTAGACACAAACTCAAGAGTTCTTTTAAATTTCTTGTTGTGAGTATAGCTTAATTGCATATAATTTCGTTAATAATGATGGATAGAATCTTGTTGTCATAGTCTCGTGGATCTTATCCATATTTTTTGAAGGTAAATGTCGAAAATATTTTCCTAAATGCTTCAAAAAAATAAAAGAAAAAGAGTATTACACGTATTTTTGCGATGTTCTGTCTTCCATTATTCATAATATTAGTGTTTGGTGTGGATATTGTTATAGTGTATTGTGATAGTTTAGTGTAGAAGCTAGCAGAGCATCACCATCGTAACACTACATCAGTTGCTAGTAGTTCTGCTAGTGTAAAAAGAATTGGTCGATATACTAGTATAGAAGTCGATTAACGGTATAAAAGCTTCAATTGGTCTATTTATGCAGAGAAAATTACTCCTCCCAAGCTATTTTATAAGAATACTAAATTTTATGAATTTGAACGAGGCTTCTTCATTTGTAACTATCTAAGAGTTGTTCATTCACTTTATTCAAAAATGGATTAATAACTTGTTGTTGATGTTGCTTTAAATCCCTGTTAATTTTCTTTCACAGCTTATTGGTAAATAGATTTTGTTGTAAGATAAACTCTCATTTCTTTTTTCCTTTTAACTGATGCTTTTCATACATCCATGATTCCATTATTTCATGAAGGCACCACTTTATTTGGATATGTATGTGCCAAAAGGATTGGACTCAGCCAGGATTCATTTTACATGAAATAATATTGAGTTCAAGGGATTGCATTAGCATCAGAGTAACATCTTGCAGTTATGTTGCTTATCACTTGAATAGACCAGATAAGATGCAGGACAATTCAGCAAATGATAAAATAAATCATGTGACGGTAGCAAGATTTCTGATGATAAGTTGTTGTAACTGATCCTGGTTGGCTCCTTTCCTTCCATGTCAATTTTTTTAATATGTAGTGGATATGGTTCATATTTCTTATTGCAAGGTGCAATGTGTTTTCTAACTTTGTTATCACAGTTTCATCAACTTATGCTCAAGAGGGTCCGGATTGCTCATGTATGAATTTCATTTCCCTAGGCAACTTATCTCGCCTTATGTTCTCATACATCATGCATTCATTCCTTTTTGTCTAATATTTGAGTGATAGGTCTTTCGGAAACAGCCTCTCTACCCCATCGGGGTAGAGGTAAGGTCTGCGTACACACTGCCCTCTCCAGACCCCACTTGTGGGACTACACTGGGTTGTTGTTGTTATTTTGAACAATATTTTGCAGGGCCTCATCTAACCTGTTGTTGTCGATCTTCATAAAAAGAAAAGATATGTTGTTTCCAAAGAACTGAGAAATATATTTTTTCTTTTCCTTCTTTACTATTCTTTCCTTTTCTTTCCCCTGTTGCCCTCAAGGATTGATATAAAATCTAATGAATTATATAATCAAATGATTGAAGATATCCTAATATTATACAAGGTCCAATGGTCATGTCTTTTCAGTCTTCATCTATGATTTAAGTTTGACATATATTTTCAAGATGGCAAAATTTTCTAATTTTTGTAAAAAAATTCGGAAGAGCTTTAAACTTATTCGTGGTACACTTGATATTTGACCCGATCAAAAAGCTTACTCGACATTTGAAAAAGTTCAAAGATGGTTTGGCAGAGTATCAAGTTCTCTTCAACATTGAGTGCATATGTATTTGAGTTCTAAGCTTCACTCCCATATTGATACATGGTGAACTAAATGGTTAGTAAATACGTTTAATTGTATCATGCTAATTGGTCACAGTTACTGGAGAAGATAAGCGAGGGTGGAAATATATGCTCGATAGTGGTTGAGCAATGCACAAGTGGAAGGAGGTAAAGTCATTAATGGGAAGCTTTTGTTATCTCATCTTTTTGTGATAAGCTGAGAAATGATTCGATGCAGTAATTTTTTGTATTGACTTAGTTCTATCTTGGTATTGAGTTGTTATTAATAAATTACCTGTACTTATCAATTATCTTTTTGTGGTAATTATGATCGTCCTCGATGTGTGATGAGATTCAATCTCGTTTTGGTCTTCCATTAGATAACTTTTTCTGCTACCATCAGTAAATATGTGGTATTTACATTTGCCACTAGACTGCAATTAATATTTAAGTGTGCAAACAGAGATTGATGTAATTGATTAATAGTATTGCGGTTTATTAGATAATATTCATGCTGAAAGTTTTGAGGAAGCTTTCTTCCGATTAACATCCCTTTAATTGTTAAGATCATGAAAATAGACATTGTCTGCAGATCATAGCATGCACAATACATTTACTATGCTGGTTTTTATTTGACGGGCTTATCTGGTGCAATGTGGCTCCTTTTCCTTGTGCGCAAGAGCTGTTGATCTGGAGAAATTTAGCCTATCATTTTGGTACACAAATCGATTTTCAAGCTGATGTATATTGTGAAATTTGTGTACTGCACTTTGAGTTGTTAGCTGCTGCAAGAATAAGTCTTCAACTGGTGTATTTACGCTCTTATGTATTTAGGCTCTTATGTACTGGTAGATGTTAGAATCCACGCTTG